AAAGTGATTTTGATGATTTGACAATTTGAATTTGAATGAATTCTTAATCCAAATCATGTTCTTGATTTCTCAGAATTATAACTTTAAGATTTTCTTTATATGAATCAAGATCGTTTACTATGATTCTTCTTTTTGCTATTTGATTTATCCAAATGAATCATAATTTTTCTCTTGATTTTTCGATATTTGATTCACAACTTAAAGTTATTTTACTCCCTTGTATTCATGAATTATACTCCTCATCACAAATTAATCTTTCTTAATATCTTTCATGCAATGGTTTGAACATTGATGTAAAGGAAAAAGAATTACAACATTGTATTATCCACTTCTTTTTTACAATGACTACAGGGGAGAAAAGTTGCTAGCTTGCACATCTTAAAGAGAAGCAAAAAGTTACTATCTCAAGAGAAGCAAAAATTTTGTTTAACTTCACATTCTCAAAAACTTGCTATCTTACCCATCTCAAGAAGTAAAACTTGTAAACTTATCTCAAAAGAGAAACAAGAATTGTTAGCTTACAATCTCAAGAGAAGCAAGAGTGCTATCTTGCCCATCTCAAGAAAAGAAAATATTACTAAACTTGCACATCTCTAAAACTTGCTAGCTTGCATATTCTTAAATGATGATATATGCAATAATATTTCAAAAACTTAAAATTATATTTATAATTTAATGATTTAAAATTATATCTCAAAAATTGGGGAGAAGTTATGATGATGATCATACATGCATTATGATAATGATCATGCATGGTGTACTTTGATATTTTAAAAAGGTTATGATGATGATCATGCATGGGTTATGATAATGATCATGTATGGTGTACTTTGATGTTTTAAAATTATGATTATGTATGAAATACTCATGATTTTAAGATGCATGCAATGATGTGATTAATTGGTTCTTTCAATATTCACGATGCATGTAATGATGAAATAGCCATGATTTTTTGAATTTAAAGTTTCTATAATATGGCATATTGATAAGGGGGAGTTTAATTTAAACTTCGTCATCAATTGGTTGTGATCATCAAAAAGTGAGAGATTGTTGAATCTCAGATTTTGATGATGAAATCAATTGATGAGTTTATAATCTAATCTATGTTTTGAGTGACGCAAGACTAACTTCGATTAGAAAAAGAAAATCGATTAAAGTAGGAAGAATCGGACGTTAGGATGGAGTGAACATGTCAGAAGATTGGACGTCAACCGAAGGATCGGTCGACGTGCCGATAGAAGGACTTCGTGTCGTGAGTTCGGGTATTGGGCTAGAGGATCGAATATTTTACCAAGGAGATTAAAAGTTGTAGGAGGTCAACATGTCGATTGGGCAATACGCCAAAGGAGATGATGATACATCGAAGGATCGGACAAATCGTTGGATGAATCAATGATATGCCGGACAATATATAATTCTAGTCTTGTAATCGGTTGTCTTAATTAGTCGTAGTTAGGTCGTTATTGAGTTGGTTTCGGGTGTAACTATGCCAACTAAATTAGTGGCTCATTAGGCTTGAGTTAGGACTATTTGGGCCAAGTGGAAGGCTCATTCGGTCACCTAAGATTTGATGGAACCACTTATAAGATGAAAAAGTTAAGAGCATACTTTTCTAGGTTGTCAAGCGGTGGTACCAATAGTCTGGGCAGTGGTACCACCCAAACACAGTCTCCCAGACTATGTCAAGCAGTGGTACCGCTAGTCTGGGCGATGGTACCACCTAGTGTTAGTGCTACATGCGATGGTACTACCCAGCACAAGCGGTGGTACCACCAAGACCCGAGAAACCCAGGATGAGACCTTTTTTAGCTCTATTTTTGAAGTCATTTGGGGTCTATAAATACCCGATTATTTTTTCTTAGAAGAGCACAAAATTGAGTAGAAAAAGAGGAAAATATACTTGAGAAAAAAGTATTATAATCTCTATAAAGTTAGTGAGTCTCTTTCTCCTAGAGTTAGAAGGTTTCTAGGGGAGGAGTGGGGTCTAAAAGAGAGAGGTGCAAAGGTTCTCTACTGAGCCTGTGAAAAGGAGAAAGAGTTGTAAGGGTAGTTGATCTTCGCCCATTGAAAGAAGATCGATAGTGAAAGCATATGGCCTCGAGCAAATTTGGAATCAGGAGTGGACGTAGGTCGGGACGACCGAACTACTATAAAATCTAATTTATATTTACTTTATGTTTTTCACTTACATTGCAAATTGATTTCTTACTCTCTACGCTCATTATGCTTTCATACATTTTTAAGTTAAACATCTTTTCGATACGGCTTTATTGAACGAAGTTTCTGAATCGACATATGTTTTACGAAAACACTAATTCACGCTTACACACTCGCTAGCCATACACCTCGATATGACTCGAGGCTTGCACCTAAGCTAAGCTTACATGCTCCCTAGCCATGCACTCAGTCTGAAGACCCGAGGGTGGCGCTCGGATAAGTAAGAGTTAAAAAATACTCGCTCTCAAGCCATGCACCTCGATGTGAAGCCCCGAGGGCTACACTTAGGCCGAGGCTATGTGCTCCCTAATCATGCACCTCAGTGAGAAGGCTCGAGGGATGCACCTAAGTCGAGCTTACACGCTCCCTAGCTGTACACTCGGCATAAAGACTCTAGGACCGTACCTTAGTTGGACCGACGCAACACCCCAATCAACAGACTTTCATCAAAGCACGCAAGTGTGCCCTCTAAAGAAAGGCCCTGAAGGATGCCCTTCAGAAGGAGCCAAATGATAGAGACGATTTTGTCCGATGCTCGCTCATTTACCACTGAGGCCACCACTTAAGTAGGGCTCTAGGTCACCAGCCCCAAATGGCACCGTAGGGCGCAACCACGTAGCCACAAGACAACCTTTCGCTCAAGGACATTTGGTTGACCCAACCCCAAGGAGGAACCTTGTAACCAAGAAAATTTCAGACCGTCTATCCAATCATCCCGAATTAGGTCCTTGCCAATAAAACGACTTCGGACCGGATCGCCAACACGATCTCACCTCACCAAATCTCCCACGTCAACTAGGAAGAAGCACTTGGGTAAGTCTACACCTTCAACAATGGACCAACCATATTGACTCATCAGTCGATGGTACTCATAACACCATCAATTATCTTTGAAATTCATAATGCCTTGTTTAAATTGAACATATTAATGATACGAAAAATGTTGGAGATGAAGAAATAAGAAAATATTAAAAATAAAATACTATGAAGGCAATTAAGAGATAATGTTTTAATAATATTAAATAAGAGGTAAAATTAAAATCATTTATAAAATATTTTCTAGAGCACCTACCTTTGCTTCATGAAACATAACACTTTATATAACATAATATTAAGTTTCTCATCATCTCATATATTAAGTTTAAGTGTAAAAATTATCTTCATAATAATATCTTAGATCATGAATCATGTTATTATCTTCATAATAACATGATTAAAATTAATTAAAATATGATACCGATGAATATATATGAATCAATTCTCAATAAATTCATGGTGGACTCATCAGAACGATCGGGAGGAGATCGTGCTGAGCCGGTCGACTTTCGTCGGTTCCGGGGAAGTCCACAACGCATTGAACCGGCGACAATGCCGTGACATGGGACGATTTTGGGTATTCGATATCGTCGGTTCTGAACTGTGGGCTGTTCGGGATCCCCATGGCCGGAGCTGATATCTGTGAGTTCTGCGGCGACGCGACGGAGGAGCTCTACCGCGGTGGATTCAGGTGCGTAACTCTTCGAACCTGAAACGGGTGGGTCGAATATTACCTGCGGAAGGATCTGAATCATTTCCTTTGTGCCATGAAGCTGGGTGCATTCTATCCATTCTCGAGGGATCACTCGGACAATACATCCATGCCGCAGGAGCTCGACAACTGGGGCTCCGTCATCGTTTCGGCGAGGAAGGCACTCGGGCTCCGGTAACGCCTGCTTCCTTTTATCTACACGCTGATGTACGAGGCGCACGTCAAGGGGGCGCCAATCGCGCGGCCGCTGTTCTTCTCCTTCCCCCAAGACACGAAGAACTACAGCATCAACACACAGTTTCTGCTGGGAGCCGGAATGATGGTCTCGCCGGTGCTGAAGCCGGCAGCGGTCACGGTCGAGGCTTATTTCCTCAGAGGCAGGTGGTTCAACCTGTTCGACCTAACCCAGTCGGTGAGGAGCGACGCTGGGGAGTACGTGACTCTTGCTGCGCCAGAAGACAGCATCAACGTTCATGTCCGGGGTGGCATCATCTTGCCTATGCAGGGTGAGGCGCTGACAACCGCATCGGCACGGCGGAGCCCGTTCGGGATCCTCGTGGCGATCGACGAGGACGGACGTGCGGCCGGGGAGGTGGTGGAGATGGCGAGGGAGGAGAGCGAGTGGAGTCCGGTGGGGTTCAGCGGCAAGGTGGAGGGGAAGGGTTTGAAGCTGCGGTCGGAGGTGGTCAATGACACGTATGCTTCGTAGCAGCGCTTGGTTGTGGGGAAGGGTGGTGAGACTTGGCTTACCGCCAAAGATTGCATCAGGGAAGTCTTCGGTGTACGTGAATGGGGTTAAAGTCGGTAGTGACTCGAAGGTGAGCATTGCGCACCGGAACAATGGAAGGTTCAGCGACGTGGAGGTGAAGGGTTTGTGGCAGCGGTCGAGTGAGGAATCTGAGCTAGAGCTTGAGATCAATTACCAGATGTAGCGAGGAGGATAAGACCCGGGAAGAAGTCGTCGATCTTTCAGTGCTGGAAATATACATTTGTAGCAAGAACAGAGAAGTTAAAGCATCATGAGCATAACAACTAGTCTGGATATGACAGCTAAACCAACCTTCTCCACATGACTTGTATGTAGCTCCTTCAGCTCATGACTATAGCCTGTGAAGCAATAATACATGGAACTATCTTGTGGATGTACCGGGGACTATCTGGATAGTAGGAAAAAGTAAGAGACTTCATATCAACTCAATGGTCTAATTCGTGGCGGGAGACCTTAACTGCAAGAGAACAAAGTAAGCAAGCATCATCGATGAATAGGGGAATTAAAAATATTAAGTACTTAAAAGAAAACAAAAAAACAGTAATATAAGCAATTTCATGAATCAAGTCTTCTGATCTTTCCTGACTAATATAATTCATGACACACAAACAGCACGCATTTGCATGCATCAACAACCCATCACCGCACAGTTGTAAACAAAAGCACCAGCTCTTTCTCTGATGGAAAGCACATCCCACTCTGCTCCACCCGTGTTTCCATCTTCAGGACGCCAAACGTGCAGAACAATTACTTCACCTTGAGGCCCTCGATGACCACCGACCACCAATAACTTGTCACCGCATGACCTGAATGCAAGACCCCAACCATTGGAAGAGTCAGCTCTCACGGGCAATGATCTTACCACATTCCAAGTGTTGTTTGACTTGTCATACTTCTTGACTTCGTTCGTAGATTGATCTGCGGCATAAAGCTGATTATTTACGACTGCAACAAGAGGGGGAGACTGAGTAGCCCTGTTTCCACCAGGATACATGTTCCTAATTCTTCTCCATGTCCTGGATTCGATGTTGTACTCCTCGCCACAAGTCAAAGGATCTGTATGGTTTGACATGCCCCCTATAACATAAAATTTTCCATCCATAAAGAAGCCGGAACATAATCTCCTCGGCACATTCATATCGGGTAAAGTCTCCCAAGTACCACACTCTGAATTGTACAACTCTGCACTACTCAAAACGTGGCCAGCCATATCACTTCCCCCAGCAATAATAGCGATGTGCCCAGAGCTTCCAGATCCAAAAAGGCAACGATGCAGCTTCATAGGTGGGCATCTAGACCAATCATGCCTCACCAAACTGTACATCCAGATAGCAAAACCAATTACTTCCCGTCCAAAAACAAGAAGCTGGGTCCCCACAGCAAGAGACTCCTTGTCTGCGCAAGAGAAGCAATCATCACATGGCATCCGTGGTAGCCTCATCCATCTACGCCTGAATGGATCAAATGCTTCCCAAGGCATCAGACTACATGCTAGATAAACCCAGTGCTCGATAACACCAAGCTGTCTCCTTAATTTGTAAAGGTATCCACTACGAATCAGTGAGTTAAATCTTTTGTTCAGACAGGCAAGTGAAGGGTACTCAGACCTACATGTTAAGGCCAGACAATCTAGTGCGATATCATCATGAAGTCCAGGAAGAAGACAGTCATTTGATCTTCGATCAGTATAACTACCTCCAGGCTGTGTCTTAACCACAGATCTTTTCTTCTTTAATCCTCTATGATATCCATTATCAACAACGAAATCTGTGTCAAATGTATCCCTTTTGACCTTTGCTAGCTTGCCAGTTTTAGCCAAGACCAGGTAACCAATTAAATATTTCTGAGATGAATCACATTCCTGATCAAAAGATCTGAAAAGCTGCGAAAGATAACAATGTGGAGCAACAACCATGATTTCTGGCTTGCTATGTTGCAGTTCTATTTCTCTGTAAGCTCCTAAAACAATTAACTCAAAATAATCAGTCGTTATGCAATTGTCCATGTGCTACTGGAAAGAAAAAGAAGAGAACAGGCAGTAAGCTCCAAAAACTACATCATATGCATACCCATTAATAGAATTTTAAGATCAAATGCAAACTAATATTTTTATCATAAAAGGACAACCAGAATACAAGACGAAACAAATCCACATGGCATTTGACTTCATCTAAAAGAGTAATAACAGAGTTAGTTACCATTAGCAAAGCAATTTGTATAGATATAAGTAGATATAGGCGTAACAAACATAACATACAATCAATACAAAAAACACATAACTGAACCAGTGCCATGATAAGATTGCTCCTCTGAAACCTAAATGAGTAGGGTCAGAACCACCAAAACAGCCTCTCTAATTGCATGGGTAAGGTTTCCTACATTAACCATTCTTAAACCCCATACTGGTAAGAATTATGTGTACCAGGCCATCCTTTTTTATAGTTAGTACTGCAGATTGCATTGTCGATTAGCACAGTTTAGCACAAGCTGAAATCAACATTAAGCCAATTTTTTTATATTTACCACTAATGATTGTTTTGTCAATTAGTACTTATCAACACAATTTAAAACAAACAATGCCAGAAAGTAATTGAAATGTATCATACCAACCTATATTGAAATAACCAATGTATTAATAAATCAACTTTAAGGCCTGTGTTGGATGGCATTAAGGTGTTTTAACTAACATGCATCTTTGTCACACAAACATCAGGAGCTATCGTACTGGAACAACAAAGAAGAAGCCTGTCCTCCATTGTTTTTAGGTAAAAAATAGAACTTTATACTCATAAAATGGTTAATGACAGTCAAAATGGTGGAGGACAATACAATTTAAGTACAAAAATAAACAATCACTAGTGGCTGGCATGCACTCATGGTGGTTGGTACATGATGTGATGTAGCGCATTTTGGTTTCTTGACAAGTAATGGGTGCTAACACTGGGAAAGCAAGATAAAGAGAAGCAATTATTTGCAGAAGGATGAAATTGGTGACCTCAGTTTGGCAATGAGGACAAAAATTACTGGTAATTGGGGGTTGGAAACATCCAGAATGGCAATAAACAACCAAAGGTGATAGCAAATATATGCAATGGGTAACAACAAGTGTTGTGGTGATTATACTGATGACCAGCAATGGTGCATAGTCAATGACAACAAGATGCGATTGGCAATGACAGATGTAGCAACCAATGATGACCAGGAGTTTCACAATAAAGGCAGGAGAGTGTCCCAGTTGGTTCAATTCAATTCATTCATTGACAAAAATGTAACCCTAAAGGAAATAATTTCTCTTTACATCCCAATATGAAACCCAATCAAAGAGGTAGCAAAACGAACAAGCCTAAATTCTTTGTTCATTTGGTTTTGTTGCAATGTAAACTCCTACAGGCTAAAAAATACTATTTGCATCAACACCAAGGAGGCTAAGCTACTCAAGCCAAACCAAATTATAGTTGGATCAACATTTACCTGTAGAGGTGACACATAAATGTCCAAATCTGTCAACCATTTTAGATAGTAATTTGGCAGATAATCGTGGTGGTTTCTTACTCTGTATTGAACTATAATCACCACTTCCACAAAATTCCACCATGTTTTTTTAATAACTGGATCTGGTTCACCTGTGGGTTCGCCTTCAGCAACGATCTCAGGGCCATCAGGAGGAGAAAAGATTTTACATTATCCTAGTATAGTAAATAAAAAATTCCTTTTTTTGTTATTGTTGAAACAAAATCCTTGTTTTTAATAACTAATTATTATGGGATTTTTTAATGTCATAGGGTCCCTATATGAGCATAGTATATGTTAAGCTGTTATCTTACTATTTTTGTTCATGTTTGTAGCATCTCAGGAGGTTTTTATCCTTATTTCTAATCATAGTTGGATCAACATTTACCCGAGGATATTTGGCCTCTAGGTACAACCCTAAGGTTGAAACGGTCCCATTTGGTGACACATAAATGGCCGAATCAGCATGAAACCCCTCCATCTATTTGACAACCAGCTTAGGTAATGGTGGTGGTTTCTTACTCTGAATGAACTAGATTTACAACTTATTCAAAATTCCAACATGTTCTCTAATCAGAACCAGATTTGGTTCACCTGAGGTTTGATCTTCTGCAACAATCTTAGCGCCATCAGGAGGAGAAGAGATTTTACATCATCCCTAGTATAATAAAAAAAACAACTTTTCCTTTTTTGTGATGAACATTGCCTATAATATTGCAATTAATTGAAATGAAAATAATTGAACATGTCTTTCAGAAGCAAATAGTTCCCTTCACCTTTATTATTTTTGCAGTTTCTGGGTTAAAGTTTTCAAGAACTTAACTAAAAATCCCTCCTGGAATAGCTCATTCTTATTATTTTTTGTTTTTCTCGAACTAATTACTCTTATTAGCAGATTAAGAGACAGATCCATTCATGCATCTGAGAATTTCTATTTTATCACAATTCCAGTATGCGTAACCCTTTTTTTTTTTGCTTTTGCAACACACCTTTCTGCCTTTTTTTCAGGTAAGATATTTTGAACAAGCCCCTATCACATTAAAACATATGCACAACAAATCTGAATTCAAGACATATGATAAGTAATGTAAAAACTAGACTAGTATCTATTGCTGTTGACACAACTAGGGGTGTAAGTTTGATTTCATGCTTGCGAACAGCTTGTGACAAACCCATATGTGAGAATCCTAAGCCAAGCTCAAATCAGATATCAGTTTCTGATGAATTGAACACGAACTTTGCTATATTCATTAATATTTGCCTTATTAAGACCTTGAACAAAAAATATTAGATAATGTAATATTTATTACATTATCATCATGGTTAGGTTGCAACTTGATGACTTGGGTGATCAAGGTTATAGTCATTGGAAGACATCAAAGGGAGCATCAATGTATTGGACCATCCTTTTAAAAATACTAAATCAAATATACTCCGGCTGTTCAGTTAGATCTGTATCTACTAGCTAAAATTGTGGGCCTTATTTTATTGTAGGCAAGTGCTATTGGGGTTTCTACACCCAGCTTGTTGGTCCCTTGCCTTTTCCCAACTCCTCATTCACATTTCTTTCCTTCCCCCCCATCCCTACCCCATTCTGCATGCTCATCTAATCCTATTCCCAAGTTTTTGAGTTGGGTGTTCCTCCCCTTCCAGCAATTCTTTTCGGATCCACTTCAACCACAACACATATCAACTCTGCTGCCATGACCCATGCCATCTTTACTAGAATCTCTAATGACACCCACCTCCAGCCACCACCTGGGTCGCCCTTGACTCAAGGCCCTTGACAATAACTTCCTCATGGAATGCTTCTTTTCTCACTCATGAATCTGAGAACAATCACAATGTGCCATGGGAGCTCGGTTCAAACAATCTTTGAGCTAAGCTGAAGCTCGATATGAGCTTCATGAGTCTGGCTCAAGCAAGCTCACCTGGAGCTTGTGCAGAGCTTAAACCATGCCTTTGTTTGTCTAAGTCAAAGGGCGACAAAACTCTGTTTATTCATGTTTGGTTTGTTTACAGACCTAACTGCAATGTAGAAAAGTGGCACTAATACAAGAACGATAATCAATTAGACCAAACCAACAAAATAGGCCTCGCAAACATAAGACACAACATTTGAGAACAGTATATCCAGAAATGATACTTTCTCCACAGGCCTTGAAAACATCATATTCCACCACTGGTAAAGAAAACCCCACGAAAGACCATTATGTCGTAATTTTCTTGTAAGAAACGTGCTTCAGTTCATCCAGAATTGATCTATTACTTGATTGAAGTAAAAGAAACCACAAATCAATGCAGATAATTATTGTCAAATAACTGGGCAATTAAATTAATGAATCGCTAAAAAAATCATCAAGTAAATGATTAAACTAGAGATTTCACCTCATACGAACGATGGTCACCGAGTACCAGAATATCACCAAGAGATCGCAAAGATCAGATCCTTCATTCCCGGAATCACCGCGAAAGAATACAGTGTGTGCATCTAAATCAACAGTACCGCCAGATCACCATATGCAACCACGCGCTTCAGCATCACAAGAACATCTACAACCAGAAATCACATTAAATCAGAATATCATCTACGACCTACTAATCACAAACCAAAATATCATTATTTCGCCTCCTTTCCCGTGAAATCCGCAAAAAGGAAACAAACTGCAACATCCACATCTAAATCACCAAGCGAATCCGACAGCGGAGTACCTCCACGGGGACCGATCACCGGCGTCGTCTATGAATCAAGATCGGGCGAATCCATCCGATCGACGGGATCTGAGAATAACGCTGCGGGCGACGGACGGCGGCCTCGCCGGGGACGCGGGTCGAGCGGCCGGCACCACCGGATCGGCCTCAGGTGGCTGAAACCTCCATCCGCGATGGCGAGATGCGATCGCCGCCAGAGAGCGAGCGAGAAGGCGAGAAACAAAGGGAAGGAGAGCATAAGAGTAGTATTTATAAGTGGAAAGCCCGATTCCAGAAACCATCGCTTCCGTTTCCTTCGCTGTGTCACCGGCGTTTTTGGGGTAAAGAAGTAAATACACAGTACAGACACTAGGAAGGAATCTAATTCGAGGAAAAGAGTACATCAGCCGTTCGTTTCGACGGGGACCCGCTGATGAACGATGGATTTATGCGGGCAGTCAACTGAACCCTACGGGCATCAGAAAGAGAACTCCTCGTCGAGCGCCCACCCGGACCGCCGACGTCACTTGGCGTCACAAAAGCGGGGCCCGCACTTTCCTTTCGGCTCGGGTTCGTGGCGCGGGTGGCGACGTTTGGGTAAACGGTAGTATCTCAGTGAGATTTATAACGACACTCTCCTCCGTAGAGTTTGCACCACTGCGGGGTGTGTGGTCGGTTTCGTGTGCGCATTGGGAGGGTGGGGGGCGAGGGAGGACGCGGAGAAGCGGAACGGAGTTCGAGGGGTAAGGATATCGGGTTTGGGGCATTCTTTACAGCCTGTCGCTCTACTCTCATTGGGGAAAACTTTTTACTCAAACGGTAAACGGGGGTGGGTAACGATTTTTTACCAGAAACGGCAAAAAGGAGGCGATAAATGACCCCATCTTCGTCGAAAATAACGACACCACCACCGAAGCCCCCTCTCTATGATGGCCTTTTTCCGCACCCCATCATCGACCCGTACTTGACCCACCATTAACTCCGTCTCGCCACCTGAGCTTACTCGAGTGTCGCGGGAGAGACGGCGATTTGACGCCGCCAAACCGACACGATCCGAGGCACGAATGGCCGGGTGGCGTCGCATTGATCGTGTCGAGAGTCGACGTCCAAAGTCGTCGTGGCCGAGGGGAGGCTCGACGGTTATGCCCACCTTTCTGATCATGATGAAGCATCGGGAGCCGTCCGATGCTTTTATTAGAAGAGTCCGTTGAACTCCTTTTCGTACGAATAATTCAATAATCAAATAATAAAAAATTGAAATATAAACTAAAATTGTGGCATAAATACGAAGAAGTTATTTGAAACAAACTTCTTCGTATTAATCATTTGACTCATATTTTTAATTGAGCACTATTTAATCAAATATAAATGAAAATAATGATAAATCATTCATGGCTAACCTATTTATTGCACACCCTTTCTCCGATGGTTGCCTTACCTACGCGTTTTGCCTAATATTAAAAAATAAAAATATTAGTATTAGAAATAATAATGAGAAAATAAATGAGATATTTTTAAAAATATATCTATTCATCTTTCAATTGTTTACAAGTTTTGGACTCTGAAGTGTGATCTATAAGGGGAGTTCTTTGAACTCATCATTTCCTACAAATAATTCAATGATATGCTAATAAAAAATTTAAATAAAAACTAAAATTATAACATGAATATGAACAAGTTACTTGAAACTTTTCAAAAAAAAAAATAATCTATAAACCATTTCTATCGATTATGCGGAATTGTACCACAATAATTTTTTATGTCTTGTCGATACATCGCCTATATATATATATATATATATATAGTAATTACATAATATGAAAAAATATATATCTTGTTTATGACTCTCCACTATAACGTTGAATCAACAACTATCAATAAAAATAAATTAAACAACATCATGAGTACTATTTAATCAAATATAAATTAAAACAATGATAAATCATTCATACCTTAATTTCTTACGTATGATCATTAACCCATTTGTTACTCTTTTTTTGTTCTTGTTTGGTAAGTTTCATACCCATGTGTTTTGTCTAACATTAGGAAAAATAAAAATAAAAATATTAGTATCCAATATAATTACAAGAAAATAAATGAGATATTTTAAGAGAAACTTCCTCTTATGATAACATTGATAGATCATTCACACCACGACAAGAAAATAATTAAGATATTTTAAAAATATTTCTATTCATATTTTGATCTTACACTTTAATTTTCATTTGTAATTATGTAACTTGTCCAAGACACATTATCTATGACTCTCCACTAAGGTAAATTTTTCCTACACTTATAATAATATGAACATCAGGAATCAAGTGCACTTCAAATAATTTTAAGACTTCATGCACACAATGATACTTTTAACATGTGGAAGTTTCAATATCTTATCCTTCTTTTCTTATTGAAACGAATGCGATACTAATTCTTAATATTCAAAGGAGCAGGATAAGGATTCTTTAAGATAACTCATACTTTGGGGATGAGTATATTCAGGAGGCGATCCTCAATTTCTCCGTAATTAGTTATGAATAATTTGAAGTAAATAGACACTACGAAAAGAATAAGAGTGTATGGAAGAAAATATCATTATAAAATATAAAATAATATTAATACTTTGAGTTTGTAAAAATATAATTAACTTTTGATATCATCCATATTATTTTTGGGTGAAATATAAATATATTCAGCATTCACTAAAAACTAATATCATATTATTATCATTCAGGTTAAAAATAGGATATAATATAAAATATAATTTAAAATATCTTATATTATAATTTATATCCTGTAAGTTTGCTATCTTAGACTACTTTGGCATATAAGATAAAAAAATTAAAGATATAATAAGTTACCAATAATATTCACAAAATATTCTTTAATCTAATTTATACCAAACTAATTCATTAATAATTAAATAATATCAATAATTATTATT